CCTGCACCATAATTGCTGGTCATGCATTCGAAATCTTAACCACCCACTGAGTGAAAGAAGTTCTCCTCATGTCTCCTTTGTTTTGCTTCCCAATCTCTTAAATCACTGTTGTCTCTTTCTGGGCCCTTTTGCCAGTCAGAACAGTTTATCATGACTTTGAACACTTGCAGCAAAATTCAACTTCTCCAATTTATCTGCATCGCTGGAAGCAACTTCGTGAATAATTTGAACGTTCTCTGTAATGTTTTTGCATCTTTCCTAAAGTGTTATGCGCAGAATTAGATGGGATGCTTCAGCTGAGGTCAAACCAGTGTCTTCAAAGTTTAACATACCTTCCCTTCTCATGTATTCTATGCCCCTGTTAATAAAGACTAGAATACATTGTGTAGAATCTTGTAGTGGTCTGTGCGAGGTGGGCTATAGCAAGACAAGTGGCAGAATTGAACCACGTTATGAAGAACCCTATCTCAATGTCAGGAGCAATTGGTACCATCTTTTATGCTGTGGACAAGCTGCAAGACAAAATTGTCACAAGGCAGTCTCAAGTTGCTAATTTACAGCTATTATTGGCTGTTTAATGCATTGTTAAAACCCAAGTTGCCTCATCACTATTCAGGCTCCCATGTCACCAAAGCAAGCTCAATGTCAGGAAAACCTGGCAAGGAAACCAGAGTGAGCGAGCACCTGGTGGATTTAGCTTGCTGCTTGCTCTAAAGGAACTCCATGTTGGAAATCAGGCAACAGCATCTCAGGGAATGCCCAAGTGCACCGGTCACATGCACCGCTTGTCCACAGATATTGGCATCTGATCATGTTCTAGTCTCTAAAAAGCCTCATAGCTCATCTCTGATCTACTTACAATTTGCACTTCAACACTGCACCATGGGCTGCACAAGCTGCTATCATTGCAATGCTACAGCAAGGATACTGTTTATTCATGGGCATACACCCAGTTGAGGGAGTGGACCTGGCTGTATCTCTGGGCTCTTCATTTGCTCTTAAAGCACTCTCTCACTCTGAGCCTACCTGAATGATCACCACATCACCACCTTGCATTGCTTTGCCTTCCCCTTTTGCGTTTCAGCCCTTCAGCCAGCTATATGTCAGGCTCATATATCAGCTTGTCAAACCATGCCATCTAGTACAGACACAAAGCCAGGAAGCTTGTCATAGTTTTCAGCAGGCTTCAATAAAGACAAGGGGGATACCATTTCTTCAAGACAGCAAGTCAAGGACAGCACTCCAAGTCCAGCTCAGGGCTATCGCTTTCCTTGTTCAGTGTGAGAACCAAAGGATGGGTAGCACAACATCTCTCTTGACTCTTTCTGCTCTGTTGTGGGCTGTTTTCCTCCTGAAATGAGAAAGAAGCAGGTATTAAGGAGGATGAAAGTTGGTGGCACAGCTATTACTGGTGGTGTAGTGAGGAAGTGCCCTGAGTAATTGAATAGGTAGCAGGGTATGCAGGGTTAGTGCTGTCAGAGTTGGGGTGAGTGAGGGTATATGTAGCAGGTGATGAGAGTGATAAAGTATGAGCCTTGGCAGGAGGTGGGTGCAGTAGCAGAAATAGAGTGAGTGTGAGGTATCAGAGAGAAGATAGTGGCTCTTCCATTGGAGTGGAAGAGGATATTGACCTTCTTCCTACAGTGTAGAGCATTTCCCCAGGCAGCCTGGGATTGCTCTAATCTGGTGACAGCCTCAGATCAGGCTGGTATGCTATGGCATTATGGCCTCCACTGCTGGTCCTTGGGGAGAATGAAGTCATGTGTCAGCAATACCTCCTTCCAGCAGAACCTAGGACCCTGCCTGCATGGTAGGGAGCTGATATCCTCCTGTCTGTCATGTCCAGGGTAAATGTCAGGAACCATGCAGGGCAGCGCCAGACTGACAGTGCATTTCCAAGTGCATAAGTGGCTTTTAAAGATGGTGTGAGTGCAAGAGATGCCAGCGAATTCCGGGATATTTGCTGAGTGGTGAGCTGTTCCGAGAATGGGACATGGTAAGATGGGATGGAAATCAGACATGAGAGGCACCATAGAGCTGTGGTAGGTCATTAACAGGACAAGATATAGCAATAGAACATGCTTGTGCTCTCAAGAGTTCCCCTTAGTTTTCTTTCCAGCTTCTCAGGCCCCCGAGGTCCGTGCATAGCAGGGTTTTCCTGAACTAGAAGCCAATTCCAAAGGACATTTCCATCAAGTGGGAGTGCTGACGCTGATCAAGGTGCATGGTACCTTGGAGAGGCTGTGTGCATGCATATCTGTACAGCTTGGAGGGAACATTGGTCCTCACAAAAACAACCCCTCTAAAAAAACTCAACACTGCTCGGTCTTAGCCAAAAAAACACTTAAGATTCAACCCTTTATGTTTTATTGACCGCTTTCTCAACCTGTCCTTCCACCTTCAATGACTTATCCCCGTATATATCAAGGTCTGTCTGTTACTACACTTCTTCTAAAATTCTACTCTTTATTTCATATTGATGTTCAATGTTCTTCTGCATTGAATTTCATCTGCCTCCAGTCAACACATTCTATCAACTTGTCTATATCCTATTGAAGTTTTACTCTACCCTCTTTACAGTTTCCAAAAACATCCATGTTTCCTATCATTTGTGCAGCAAAGTCTAGATGGTTAATAAATGTCAGTAAAAATGAAGGTCCCAACGCTTACTCGCAGGAACTCCATTACAAACCTTACTCCAGCGCAAAGAATATCTAGCAACCATTACTCTCTCTTTCCTGCCATTCAGTTAATTTCCAATTAATTTCCATTTTATTCTGTGAGCTATAGCTTTGTCCATAAGTCTGTTGTGTGGCACCAGTTTTCTGGCTATGCAGTCATTGGACAATCTCGGTGCTCCACACGGAACTCAATGCCTACAACATGTATCAAACACAAAGGGGGAAGAGTTCTGGAATGGCCAATTACATGTCCATCTTCCATGCAACCATTTTCTTCTTTCTCCACTAAGGTAAGGCAACTGACAGAAAAACAAGAAAACCTCACCACTCTATCAGCACTTTTTTTTCATTCAAAGTATCTGACATCAGTGACAAGGTTTAGTTTAGTTTAAGTACTTAATTTGAATCTTTAGTTGCCATTGAGAAGGTGGTAGTGGGCCTTCTTTTTCTTAGAGGTGCTCTGATAGTGAAGTTAGACCGTACAATCATTATCTGAACAATCCCATTCTCCCTGTTATGTTCTCATAGCTCTGCAAATTCATTTTCCTCAAGTGTCTATTCAGAATCTCTGATTTTAACATCGTTGTAAAAATTTTGGTGCAGCAACAATAAACAAACAGCAATATCTTTCCAAGTCAGGATGCTGTGTGATTTGGAGGGAAATGTGCATCTCGTGGTGATCCCTTGCATCTGTGACCTTACCCATCTGGGTGTTGGATGTTGCAAGTTTGTGAAGTGCTGTCAAAAAAGTCTTATCAGCAAGGCCTTTTTCTTACCTTTCTCAGGTGGCCAAGGGGAAACGTCGTCCAAAGAAGCTTCTTAAAATATTGACTTCTATCCTCTCTGAGTGTAATATATTATTTAGTAAAAGCCAAGAAAGAGACAAGGTGACCAGGTGCCTTGGTTTTGCTGGGACAGTCCCTGTTTTTATTAAAAGCAATGTACATAAAGGGAATATTTTGCTTTCCAAAAGACATTGGTGTCTCTCCACAGAATGTGGCTATTGCTGGCTAAGCTCACATTCATTGCCCATCCTTAATTGCCCTTGTTGTGGTGAGCCGCCTTCCTTTAAAATGTGGTGTTGGAGCACTCACAGTATTGTTAGGGAGGAAGTCCAGAATTTTGATCCATGGAAAGTCAGACTTGGAGACATACCAGCAGGTAATGGTACTCCCATGCATCCATTGCCCTTGTTATTCAATGTGTCCTGAAAGGTGTTGAGTATTGTTGGAGCTACATTCATGAAGGTAGGTGGAGTTTATCCCATCATACCCCTAGATGGTGTGCACACTTTTAGGAGTCAGGAGGTGGGTTACTCACCACAGAAGTCCCAATCTCGAACTTTCTCTTGTAGCCACAGTATTTATGTGCCCAGTCCAACTTCATTTCTGGTCAATAGCAGTGTTGATAATGGGGAATTCAGCGATGCTATTAAATATCAAGGGACAATGATTAGGACTGAAATGATTGACCTCCAGCAACCACAAGCATCTTCCTTTGTGCCAGGTATGACTCCAACAAGTGGAGAATTTTCCCTCTAATATCCATTGACTCAATATTTTGCTAGGGTTCCTTGAAGCTGCGCTCAGTTAAGTATTGTTTTGATGTCAAGGGCAGTGATTCACACATCAAATATCATGAAATAAGAGTTTATGGTATGGGGGGTAACATATTAGCACGGATAGAGGATTGGTTACTTCACAGGAAGAAGGCAATAGGGTTAAATGGTCATTTTCTGGTTCACAAGATAACCAGTGGGGTGCCACAGATATCAGTGTTATGGCCTCGATTATTTTGCTATCTCCCTTGGTGACTTTGATGAATGGTCCAATCAGTTGCTTTCTTAAGAGAAAAGTGGTCGTGGCTCCATCATTGGCAAATAGGCTTTCAGATGTCTGGGACTTAAACTCTGGAATTCCCTTCCTAAAACTCTCTTCCTTTAAAATCCTGCTTAAAGACTACCTTTTCGACAAAGCTGTTGAGTACCTGTCCCAATATCTATTTACTTAAGCTGGTGTCTAATTTTGTGAGATAAGGCTGTTTATAAAGTATTTTGGAATAATTTATTACATTGAAGTCATTCTAAACACAAGGGATTACATTTTTAGAAATGGTAGCAATGCTTTCTTTCAAATCAGGCACCCCGATCAGCTGACATTCACATGATAAATCATTCATCTTTCTCTCTCTGTTCTTTTCTAACAACATCAAAAGTAAATGATTAACAGGCAGGAAAGGTTGAGAGAGCTGTTAACAAAGTTTGCAGTGTGACTTTATTAATGGAACACAGGGTACAACAACAAGACTATTGATGTTTTACAAGACACTTCTTTGGATTCAGTTGGAATGTTGCTTCCAGGTCTGGGCAATGTGCTTTAAGAAGGATGTGCAATCTTTGGAAAGAATGCAGAAAGGATTCACAAGAATGGTTCCCGGGATGAGGAACTGCAGTCATGAAGCTAGATTGGAGAAGTTAGTATAATTTTCCTTGGAGAAGAGGAGATTGGTAAGGGATCTAATACAGGTATTCAAAACTGTGATAGTTTTAATTAAAGCAGACAGGGAGAATCTATTCCCAATTGTAAAGAATTGAGGATGAGAGGCTACAGATTTAAAGTAATTTGAAAAAGAGTAAATGGGATTTTCACACGCACATGAATAGGGTCTGGAATGGACTGGCTGAGTATGGCAGAGACAGATTCAATTTTGGTATCAAAAAGGGCATCATACTGTTATTTGAAAAGGAAGCATCTGCAGAGTTTCAAGGAGAAGGCAGGAGAATATGTGAAGAAAATTATTCATTTGGATAGCCATTGAACACCTGATGAGTTGAGTGGCCTCTTTCTGTGCTGTAATGATTCTGTGATTAATTCTACCACCAAGCAGGTAGAAAGCTTCAATCAGATAAAATAATCTGATTTGTGAAACTAAATGCAAGGTCTTAGCTGGTTAAACTTTAAACCATCTGATTGTTTTGATCGCTGTTTCTTAACGATAGTGCTATTGGATGCCAAAGATTTCCTGTGATAGTGATAAAGTGGTTCTATTGCCGAGGTGCCAGCTAAAAGTTGTTCTTGATTTATTTGCTTTGCAGATCTTCTCTGGCTGCAGATACTATTACACAGGCACCGGAAAACCATTGGCTTCCAAGTAAACATTCTTTACTTAAATTACCACGTGATTTAACTGAAGGGAAGAGATTTGGCAGCCAATCTGCCTTTTCTTCCCCCGAAATCCATACTATTCTGGGATAGTGGAGGTAGGGGTGTGGGCGACTGGGAAATGTTCTTCTTATAAAGTTTGTTGAAGTTGAGTGGAAGGAAGCTCATATGGAAGATAGACCGGTAGAATGAATGGTCTATTTTTGGCTTGTAGCTTCACTGATATGGCCAAGTAACCTTATACTACCCACTAAAGAAATATTAAGACCTGGATCCACGTTACAGCTGGATTAGAATCAAAGCCATAATGTTTTCTGACCTACACAGCTCAGTAACTTCCTGGATAAACATCCTCAGTCTCAAAGAATGTCAAGTTTATTTTTAAATTGCTGTAGGAACTACAGTAAACTTTGAAGTGACACCGTTCAGTAACAATTGATCTTGGGCAGTGCAGTATTGTGGAACCTGACATCAGATTGAACTCTGACTGGAGGGACCTAGGGTTATTCTTTCTGTTGGTGCTACATGGTATGAGTTTGCTTACAATCCAAGTTCTACTATTTTAAAATGAATACATTAAACAACATTAATATAAACATCCCCTGAGGCCACTGAAATGAAAATCAAAATACCAAAGGAACATTATATTTAAGTCTGCACTACCTATCTTTTGCAGAAAGCATACAGTTAATCCAGGATGCAATTTGCACAAAATTCTGTTTGTCATTGAGCTGATAATCTTATTCAGAAAGGCTAGAGGGCAACTCACATTGTGAAATGGAGCTGTCACATTGCTATTGCAATGGCCACTTTTATTTTGGAAATGAACTCATTGTTAGGCCTGAGTGGAAAGAAAGAGCACTCTATCATGCATACAGAAAGGAACATTGACCTCCAAGTCAGCCATGATAACCATGCCATACAAAATCTAGGGGTGCCTGATCGGATTACACAGAGATGACTTACACTGCAAGTTACCTATTGCAATAGTGAGTGCTTGGTGAGGTTCTGTAGAAGAGGTTTCACACTGCAAGGTCAAAAAATTGTATACGAAGAAGAGCGTGGAAGGTGCAAACATGTTCTGTACGCCCCAGATTTATGATAATATGTACAAGGTCAGGACACAGAGTTCCATTTGTAAGAATACATGAAGAAATAATTAGAAGTTAATTGCCCTGAAAACCAACTCGTCTAATTGTGCAGAGTGGAAATGGGGAGTAGCTTAGTCATCAGATATGTGCTAGGTCTGACTTCCACTTTGAAGTGATTTAACAGACTGAAACCAAAAGAATACAACACTTGGCCTCTGTTCCCCATAACAGTCTTCCATATGACCTCTTGAGCCATAACTAATCATTAAGAAATCAAAACATTTCACTTCCTAATCTCTTTTCTTTTCCCAGTCAATTGTCTTCCCTCCCTCTCCTGAAGTTATTGCCTTGTTACTTAGCCACAGCTCCATGATTCAGGTTGTGATACATTACCTCCTCCACTCTTCCACTGTGAGCTGAGGCACACTGCATTGGCAGGCAATATAACAATACCATGCAGGTATCAATACCTACCAAGTCACAACGTGAAGATTCAAGTCCTACTTAACAGCTTGTGCACAAATGTCTATGCCGACACTTCAGTGCAGTCGTAAGGATTAGCTGCCTTTAAGAGGAGATGTTAAACCAAGGCCCCATCTGCCTTTGTAAAAAATTCATTCATGACGTGTGGCTGTCACTAGCAGGGCTAGCATTTCTTGCCCATCCCTATTTGCCCTTGAGAAAGTGGAGGTGAGCTGCCTCCTTAAATCTCTGCAGTTCATTTGGTGTAGGTACACACACAATGCCGTAAAGGAGTGATTTCCAAGATTTTGATCCATCAGTACTGAGGCAGCACAGCTCAAGTGGATGCAAAAGATCTCATGGCACTGTTTCAGTAAAGAAGATTATCCCCTGTGTCCTGACTAACTAAACTCATTTGTCAGTAAATACAACAAAATAATAAAACTATTTGGCATTAACGTATTGCTGTTTGTGGGTTTCAGCTGAAATAGGTTGCTCCCAATCCCGTATTGTAACAGTATTTATATTTCAAAAGTGCCTTACAAGTTGTAAAGTGGTTTGACATGCCCAGTGGCCATGAAAAGCACCATTTAAAATGCAAATCTATGTTTTTAACAGCTTGGATATAATGCAACACCTTTTCTGTATGAAAATAAAGTCATAAACTTCACAAAGTCCTAACCCACTGCCTTCTCTTTCAATCTTTTCACTAGCTCTAAATTGTTAGAATGTTGTCCAATGTTACATGAGCAGAACTTTCCTCAGTGCAAATACTGGGAAGCCCAAAGTTATTGGCTTCATTCCCTGCCACAAACTCTGTTTCCTGGTGACCAACCATTCCTCTTCTTGGCAAGTAATTGAGACTAAACCAGACTGAAGCAGACTGTTCATCATCCTTATATTAAAGGGATATGGTGCCATAGCCATAATGTGACTAGACAAGTCATCTATTAGACGTTTTCCCAGCCACCATCAGTTCTGAGGAAGGGTCACCGGACCTAAAACATTAACACTGTTTTTTCCTTCACAGATGCTGCCAGAACTGCTGAGCTTTTCCAGCAACTTTGTTTTTGTTCCTGATTTACAGCATCCGCAGTTACATAGAACATAGAACATAGAACATTACAGTGCAGTACAGGCCCTTCGGCCCTCGATGTTGTGCCGACCTGTGAAACCAATCTGAAGCCCATCTAACCTAAACTATTCCATTATCATCCATATGTTTATCCAATTTCCATTTAAATGCCCTTAAAGTTGGCGAGTCTACTATTTTTGCAGGCAGGGCATTCCACGCCCTTACTACTCTCTGAGTAAAGAACCTACCTCTGACATCTGTCCTATATCTATCACCCCTCAATTTAAAGCTATGTCCCCTCGTGCTAGCCATCACCATCTGAGGAAAAAGGCTCCCACTGTCCACCCTATCTAATCCTCTGATCATCTTGTATGTCTCTATCAAGTCACCTCTTAACCTTCTTCTCTCTAACGAAAACAGCCTCAAGACCCTCAGCCTTTCCTCATAAGACCTTCCGTCCATACCAGGAGGTAACATCCTGGTAAATCTCCTTTGCACCCTTTCCAATGCTTCCACATCCTTCCTATAATGCGGTGACCAGAACTGTACGCAATACTCCAAGTGCGGCCGCACCAGAGTTTTGTACAGCTGCAACATGACCTCATGGCTCCGAAACTCAATCCCTCTACCAATAAAACCTAACATACTGTATGCCTTCTTAACAACGCTATCAACCTGGGTGGCAACTTTCAGTGATCTATGCACGTGGACACTGAGATCTTTCTGCTCATCCACACTACCAAGAATCTTACCATTAGCCCAGTACTCTGTATTCCTGTTACTCCTTCCAAAATGAATCACCTCACACTTTTCCGCATTAAACTCCATTTGCCACCTCTCAGCCCAGCTCTGCAACTTATCTATGTCCCTCTGTAACCTGCAACATCCTTCCGCACTATCCACAACTCCACCAACTTTGGTGTCATCCGCAAATTTATTAACCCATCCTTCTACACCCTCATCCAGGTCATTTATAAAAATGACAAACAGCAGTGGCCCCAAAACAGATCCTTGAGGTACACCACTAGTAACTGAACTCCAGGATGAACATTTCCCATCAACCACCACCCTCTGTCTTCTTACAGCTAGCCAATTTCTGATCCAAACCGCTAAATCACCCTCAATCCCATGCCTCCGTATTTTCCGCAATAGCCTACCATGGGGAACCTTATCAAACGCTTTACTGAAATCCATATACACATCAACCACTTTACCCTCATCCACCTGTTCTTTCGGGTTTTTTAAAAGTTATCTATTGGGTTCAGAATAATCCTCCAGGGGTTTAAATTCTACCACTGCAGTTGATGGACTTGAATTAAATCAATAAAATCTGGAATTGAAAGCTCATCCAATAATGGTGAATGTGAAACTATAATTGATTGTCCTAAAACCCACTTAGTTCACTAATATTCTTCAGGTAAAAATATACTCCCATGTCCTAACCTGAAATGGCTGAGCAGGCCACTCATACCACTGCAAAGTTTAAAGACAGTAATGAAGGCAGATGGACAGCCTAGCATATACCCAGGCACTGGAACTGACAATGGGAAATCCAGCCCTGCCCTCATGTACCAAAATTGGAAAAGGTATCCCACAGTCTGGTCAAGCAACAGGCTGACATAATCAACTCACATAATCATACCTTAATCATACATCCTTGATATCTCCATCTCAGGCTGACCCACAAAATGCTGTGGCATAGTGGTATATTGTTGGGAGGGGGTTGCCCTCAAATTGACTCTAGATCCCAGGAAATTTCATGGTGTCGGTCAAAAATGGGCAAGGAAATCTTATGTTAATTACCATCTCTCCAGCAACCTACCTCCTATTTGTCATTTCAGCTGATATATCCTCAATATTGAACACCCAACAGAGAATATACTCCATTAGAAGGCCACAAGACCATAAGAAATAGGAACAGGAGTAGACCAGTCAGCCCCTCAAGCCTACTCTGCCATTTAATAGGGGCATGGCTGATCCAACATTCCTGGCGTCCACTTTCCTGCCCATTCCCCGTAACCGTTGATTCCCCGGCTGATCAAGAATCTACCTGTCTCAGCCTTAAAAATACCCGAGGACTCTGGCCCCACAGGTCTCTGTGGCAAAGAGTTCCAAAGACTCACAACTCTTTGAGAGAAGAAATTTCTCTCATCGCCATCTTAAATCGGCGCCCCTTTATTCTGAGTCTTTGCCCTCAGGTCTTAGAATCTCCCATGAAGGGAAACATCTTCAGCATTTACACTGTCAGGCCCCTTAAGATTACTTGATGTTTCAACAAGTTTCTTCTAAATTCTAATGAATAGAGTTCCAACCTGTTTAGCCTTTGGACGTAAGACAATCTCTCCATACCAGGGATCATCG